TATTTTATAAAAATATTTTGGATTTAAAGCAGCATCAGTTAAAGTGAGGACCATCTCTAAGTGGGACTTGGGTAGTGGCCACTGTCTCAGGGCACTATCTATAAAATGGGGCCTAGCAGGAGCCATGGAAGAGGTGCCTCCTGCAGGCAGAGAGGTTGGGAGTTGTTTATTTGGAAGCCTTCTCTATTTCTGATGAGTGTCTCCTGGATAAGCCAACAGAGTTTAGACTTTCCACTTTCCTTCTTTTTCTCACAGTGGACAGATGTTGGCCCACGGAGGGCTGCTTTTTGTTTGTTACTTTTTATTTAAGTGGAAGTGATTCAAAAGCCCATATGTAAGGCACCTTGACAAAATTATGCTATCACAGAAAGTTACTGAAAATGACCACGTAACCATATACACATGCATTTCCATTTTATATGAGATCCATGTTCTACTGCAGTTCCTTTTCCTACTTTAAGGTCAGAAATCCCTGCTACCCCAGGGCAGCTAATCTGTTCCTGCTAATCACCCCAACTCCCCACAGAGGAGTTCAAAAAACCTGCTGCAAATTCAGGAGCTAAACATCCCAAATGCAGTCAATTCTATTTTCCCTCTTAAATTTATCAAAGAATGAATGACCACTGACTGCCTTGAAAGCAAAACATCCATTCAAAGGGGAAATCTGCTTTTGAGGAAAAAGAGAAAAGACAAAAATAGGCTTGCTTAGAGTTTGACTCTTGGCTGTTTGTCTGAGGACACAGCAGCTACATGTGGTGTCATGTCCACAGTGTCACCTATGGAGGTCATGTGGCTACAGTTTTCAGGCTTATTGTGAAATGACCACTTGAGGGAGAGGGTCACGTGGAGCCTGTGCAGGGTGCTGCTTGTGAGGGTATGAGCCAGGCTCCCTGTAATTAAGAAGCAGCCTGTTCCGCAAAGACAGTGCTGCCACCCCATCTGCCAAGCCCGCGAGAGCTGGCACTGTGCCTCCCTGCCTGCTGCCGCCTGCTACCCACCAGATCCTTGGAGACCTCCTTTGATGGAGCGTTCATGCCAAGCTTTTCCAGAGGATAGACAATCTGTCGTCGTGGTCGCACGGGAACCAAGTAATGAAGGGCAGATGTCAGGGAGTGGGCGTAGGGACTCTGGAGCTGAAAGACAGCAATCTATATTTTAGGGGAGAGAATGTCAGAGCAGCATAGCACAGATGTCTGTATGCGGCTTTACAAATATAAAATCCTTAACATGGCCAAATAGGAGAGTAAAAAAAAAAAAATATATCAAATAAACAAACACACTCTTGGAGCAGAGGAATGAATTGCAGATAATGCCTGACACTAATGAAGATAATTACGAGAGTAATTACATTACTATCTCTGTGGGAATGACAGATAAACAAGTGGTTTGGTTTATGGGATTTTTCAGTACAAGTATTTTCCCCAGGAGGATATTCTTCTCCATAGTGATCATGAATCAGCTTGATTTGACCCCATTAAGCTGTGCTGTGTCCTGTTAACCTTTGCCTGTTTGGCATGCACTGCTTTAAGAAGACACATAGATAAAAATGTCATCCAAGGGACAGCTTAGTGAGAATGTGAAAATGCTCCTGTTTGTGGAAGTTATCCACATAGATTTTAATTGGACTTTAGTTGTAAAATGAATGTTTTAAAATAAAAGGATAAAGCCAGAAAGTGTGTGTGCACATGTGTGTGTGGGGGTGTGTGTGACTGGATCATTTTACTTTGACTTATATTAATAGTGAAATATGAGCAGAATTTATCCTAATTGAAATGGACTATGATAAATCATATTTTGGGAAGATGCATTAAATACTGTTGTTATCGTCAGGTGCCATCGAATGATTTCATACAACAGAACAAAACAGTGCATGATCCTGTGCCATCCTCACAACCCTTACTCTGTTTGAGTCCACTGTTGCAGCCACTGTGTCACTCCATCTTGCTGAGAGTTTTCCTATTTTTTGTTGACCCTCTACTTTGCCAAGTAAGATGCCCTTCTCTAGGGACTGGTCCCACCTGATGTCTGAAGGACATAAGACAAAGTCTCACCGTTCTCCCTTCTAGGGATCACTTGGCTGTACTTCTTTCAAGAAAGATTTGTTCATTCTTCTGGTCGTTCATTTTATGTTCCATATTCTTCACCAGCACCATAACTCAAATGCATCAACTCTTCTTCAGTCTTCCTTATTCCCTGTGCAGCTTTTGCATGCATATGAGTGTCTGAAATACCAAGGTTACATCTTTGCTTTTCTACACTTTAAAGAGGTCTTTTGCTGCAGATTTGTCCAATGCAATACTTCACTTGATTTCTTGATTGCTGCATCCATGGGTGTTGATCATGGGTCTAAGTAAAATGAAATCCACGACGTCAATCTTTTCTCTGTTAATAATGATGTTGCTCATTGGCGCAGGTGTAAGGATTTTCGTTTCCTTTATGTTCAGTTGTAATCCCTAATGAAAGCTGTAGTCTTTGATCTTCATCAGTAAGTGCTTCAAGTTCTCTTTGCTTTCAGCAAGCTAAATTGTGTCATCTGCATATCACAGGTTATTAATGAGTCTTACGGAAATCCTGATGTCAAGTTCTTCACATATTCCAGCTTCTCAGATTATTTTCTCAGCATACAGACTGAATGATAATGGTGAAAGGATACAATCCTGAAGCACACCTTCCTGATTTTAAACCATGCAGTATAACCTTGTTCTGTATGAACAAATACCTGTTGGTCTATGTAACGTTCTGCAATTACCATTCTTTGCAATATTACCCACAATTTGTAATGATCCACACAGTTGAATCCTTTGCTTTGTCAATAAAATACAGGTAAACATCTTTTGGTATTCTCTGCTTTCAGCCAAAATCCATCTGACATCACCAATGAGATCCCTCATTCCATGTTTTATTCTGAATCCTGCTTGAATTTCTGGTCGTACCTACCAATTTACTCCTGCAACTATTTTTGAATTACCTTCAGCAAAATGTTGATACTAATGGTATTGTTCAATAATTTCCACATTCCATTGGATCACCTTTTTTGGAATGGGTACAAATATGGACTTCTTCCAGACAATGGCCAGGTAGTGGTTTTCCACATTTCTTGGTATAGATGAGTGAGTCCTTCCAGCATTGTATCCCTTGGCTGAAAGATCTCAACTGGTATTCTTAGAGCCTTGTTTTTGCCAATGCCTTCAGTGCAGTTTAGACTTCTTCCTTCGTTACCATTGTTTTTTGATTATATGCTACCTTATGAAATGGTTGACCAATGATCATTTCTTTTGGTACAGTGACTCTGTGTATTTCTTTCATTTTCCTTTGATGCTTTCTCCTTTAAACTTTCATTTTATCAAATTATTAAAACTTGGCAGAAAAAAACTGAACATGGTGATCTTTATTTCTTTTAAATTTATAAAACCTTAGTGGCTTTGGTAAAACCAACTAAAGAGTATCATAGCCATTTAAACCTCAAAAGTTAAACTGTGAAATCTAAATTTTTAAAAGACTCATTTATTGAATTTATGCTTGAAAACAATGAAAGTTCAACTGAACTGCAGATATATGTAATAAATAATATGGTTTACATATGACTTACTTAATACTCTAAAAATAGCTCCAGGCATTTCTTAGAGCTTCTAAAAGGGATTTCTAAAAACTTTCACCATTGTACTTTATACCCTGATTTTACAAATTGAAAAACAGAACCCAGGAATTCCTACCCACAGCTCTGGTTTTATGCCTGGAATATATTTCAATACAAGCCATTGTTCACTATAACTACAGTCATCTGGGGATTTACAGCAGAATTTAGGAATTCTTGCTCAAAATATTTGGTACTTCTTACACTTGTTTAAATATATATATGTAAAACAACAGGAACTGCAAATTAAGAGGAAATCTATAGCCAAATGTGTTCTTATAGCCTATTCACAATATTTCATATGTTATTTCTAATTATATTCCCATTGAGGTAAATATATAAACCCAAGATGTTATTTGTATTATGGATGCAAATGGGCTTTTCACCAAACCAGCATGTCCAAGCAACATTGTGAATAAAAAATAAGAATTTAATATCACATCCTGAAGGCCACAAAATTGGAGCTTGGCTAAAAGCAAAGCAAAAATAAATTGTGCAGGACATACAGTACTGCATTGTTAGTGAAGGCAAACATTGATATATGGGTGGACAGATGGGTGGATAGGCTGAACTATTATGTATGTCTATGCAGGGGGGAATGTGCCCATAACCATGTATAGGGTTGTATAGGGTTGGCAGACAATGTTTCTACTAGTATATTGGTATGTTCTGTAAGAATTACCAGGTATATGGTACAGGTGACAATGGACAAGGTTGTAGTCACTCCTTGGCAACAGCCAGCTACCCAGAGGGAGCAAATAGTTGGACCTGTGGCCTCGGGACCATAGTCACAGGGGACATCAAGCTCAACTGGCATAATATACTACACAAAAACTTTGTTCCACATCCTACTTTGGCGAGTAGCAACTGGAATCTTAAAAGCTTGCAAGTTGCCATCTAGATGCAACAATGGATCTCTCCTCATCCAGAGCAAAGAAGAATGAAGAAAACCAAAGATACATGAAAACAATTAGTCCAAGGGACTGGTACATCATGTGATCCTCAGCCTATACAACTATGAGACCAAAAGAACTAGATGGTGCCTAGCTACCACTCTCAGTCACTTGGAGGGGGATCTATGTAGGAGATCCTGGATAGAGTGGGAGAACAAAGTGGAACAAAACTCAAATCATTTTTTTAAAAAAAGCAACCAGGTTTACTGCTTTGATAGAGCATGATAGAACCACTGAGACTATGGTCTCTAGCTGCCCTTCAGGTTTGGAATTGAACCCACTCCCATGGCTTGCAGCCAAACAAAAGATAGGCATATGAGCTGAACATTTACATTAGGTAGATATGCTCCTTGGAGAGATCAAACATGGGAGAATAGAAGGGCTGTGTATGCAGAGAGAGACAGCTCAGGGGGCAGGAGTGCATGGGAGAGAGGTAACTATGGGGAGGAAATGGGAGGGGAGCTCTTGCATGGGAAATTTCAGTCAATGTCATGGGACAAAGTGTATGTGAGCTGCTGTATGGAAGACAAATTTGCTCTGTAAACTTTCCCCAAAATCAAAATAAAAATTAAAAAATAAAGTAAATAAATAAATTGTGCAGGGCTGGGATTTTCCAGCAAAACTTAAGCTTCCCAGCCCTTCAAATTTAGGGCTTTTGCATGGCCATCATGCTTCATTTTGATAGGAAGAAATAGTCACTACAGCAGATTTCATGTCTTACCATAAACCTTTTCCAAGTTCCTTCCTTCTTCCCCATTCCCCTGTACTTCTGAAAAAGGCTTTTGTTAAAATAGGCTACATTGGCAAAAGTATTATTACATGAATGCACTAAATATACTCAGATTGTTAAATATACTCAGATTGTTCAATATACTCAGATTAAATAAACTCAGATAGTTTCTGAGTTTAATAAATAAGGGTATTTTAAAATCTATTTTGCTCAGTTATAGTTACTAAGGAAAAACAGAACAATGCCAAAGAATCTGGGAAGAACATGAGCAAACTTTAGGTTATGAATGGGATGTCTTCCACCTAGTCTAGTTGTTGGATCCCACTGGAGGACCAGTGCTGTCAACAACAGTTTTAGGCATTGGGAACACAACTGTGAACAAGGCAGATAGAAGCCTCTGTCTTCATGGCAAAACATATAATCAGAGGTAGCGAAAAGTGCTACAAAGAAAACTAAAGCAGGATATGGGCATGTGAAAGCAAAGTGAGGAATTTGGTATTTATTCATGCATATATACATAATGTATATATATTATGTATGTGTTTATCACAAATTATTAGTCCACTGTAGTATTCCCCATGATGAGACTGGTAATCAACACCATGGTGGAATCTATTGTGAACAGCTGAGTAGCTGCCTTAGGAATGTGGTCTGCTTCCTGTATATAAGGAAAAGCTTTGGGATTGGTCTCCAGCCTTTTGGCATGCTTGAACCCTGCATGTAGCCAAGTTGTTGTTCAACAGCCTTCATCATTTAACAGCCTGCCATGTCCTGCTGATCTTGGGACTTTTAATGGACTTGAATTAGTGGCTTGTCATGTTGTTTGGTAACATTAACTTTCACTTGTCAACCTTGGGTTTGTCAGCCTCAGCAGCCAGCAGCTGCCTGAGTGAAGAGATGCCTCTAGCTTCAGTGGGCTGGGAACAGAAGGCAGAGCTGGAGCACAAGGTTGAAGGACTTTCACCCAGCCCCTAGAGCCTGGCACTTTGAATTCAGACTTAAAGCCTCCAAAATTGTAAGAGAATAAACTCCTGTTTGTTAAAGTCATCCCATTTGTAGTATAGTTTTGCCACAGTGGCACTAGGTAACCAAAACATCCACATAAATGTAATAGGTATTATACAGACCCATACAGGTACTCACTCCATAAAGCTTACACTGGTATCATATGTCTCTATCACTGTCATTGGGGGGGAGGGGTTGAAATATTCATTTGGAATGTTGTGATAGCAAATTCATCTTTTTGAATAGGATTGATTTATGGGTTGATTATTTAAATGTTCTTTGTGTGAAAGGACAAGGATCATTTTGGCACACATTTGGAATCACACTAATACACCATAAGTAATAATGATTTGATTTCCATGCATCTTAGCATTTTTGTATAGTTTTCAGTTTCTGTTTTGTCAATATAGAAAAGCCAGTAAATTGTGCTCCTCATCACATTTGTTGTGATTCTTTCAGAAATTCAAAGCCTTCTGGAGTTTCACTGTAGTGTAAGAAAAGGGTCATACTCAACATGGCCATTTGGAATTCAGATCCATGTGATAATGAAAACTCCCTAGAGGAGGAATGAATGAAATGCGGCCCATGTAGGAATACACTGTGAGCAATGGTGGACAGTGGATCCTGTAAGTCACAACAGTCTTTTACCTTGCTGCTCCTGCAGTTTGGGTAGACAGGATAGTAAAGACAGGACTTAAAGCCTATACGAAGAATCTCTTTCAGAAAAAACTTGGTGTAGTGCCGGAAAATGGGGTTCAGGGCAAAGTGATACAAGTGCCCATGTTCCTCATGCTGGTGGTGACTGAAGTATATGAAATCTTCAATATTGTAATGTGACCGTATGTACTCAATATCCTGAAAAAGATGGAGGGGGATATCAAAGAATGCTTTAAACAAATTGCATATATTTTTGATAAATATCCTTCAAAAATTACATTAGGTAGAATGGTAAGAAACATACGCTCTCCTGGTGTTTACAATCTCATTTTCACTGTTAGTTTTTTAAAAATTAAAAATTACATTTTCTGAGAATTACTTGCTCTGATAGTTTGTCTTTGAATGGTGGTGAGAAATCTTTTGAATTTCTCCCTTAAACCATGGTTGCTAAAAACTTTAAAAGCCTTGAGTCCCTGCTAGTAACTAGGTGGCAGGAGAATAACTGTTCCCCACTGTTAGGCAGATGAGCCTGAGGACCTCACTACACTGACCCATCATGTGTAAACTCATGATGCGACCACCAAACCTGGGTAACAACTGCAGCTCCCTATACCCAGAGCAGTGCAGGATCGATGATCCCACCATGGATGGCTGTAACACACCTCCTGGACCTATGCTGAGCACACTGCCTCATGCCTAGACTGGTACAACACACTAGGCTGTACTCCCAGACTGGTAACTTACTAGCCGGCCTGCCCAAGATTGGTGCAGCAGCCATGCCTCACTTCATCCCAGGACCTCTGACACTTTCAGTCAAGTCCAACACCACAAGCACATATAGACTGCCTTAACATCAGAAGCATTCAAACATGGAGAGGCGAGGTTGAAACAGTACAACCCATGGCACTTAAGCAAGCTGCCCTGAGATGATTACAGCTAGGAAAGAAGATCCTATGGATCCCTGGAAGAAGCAATCTAAAGAAAAGGGGAAGAAGTTAGCCTGATCTAAAAGCATACATGCATAAATAAGTAAGTAAATAAATCTTAATGTCGCACAGACAACAGTTATAAAACATATGACGAGACAGGAAAGGACAGCACAAACAAATGAACGAAGCCAGGGGCCAGAAACAGTCCCTGAATAAGAAAAAATAATAGAATTAACCAATAAAGATCTCAAAGTATTAATACTAAGAATGCTCAAAGAGATAAAGAGGAACGATCTAAAGAAAATCAGGAAAACAATATAACAAAAATTTCAATAAAAAGACATCTTAAAAAAGCAAACAAGTTCCAGTAAGATGGCGGAATAGGCAGAAAGATTGCACAGACCCTCTTCAACAAAGAAAAGGGGAACCAATTAAAACAGATACAGAAGATACTCCTGGACCCCTGAGCCTTGAAGGGAAGGATATAGAAGTGTACTAAACTCCAACTAGCAGAAGAATTTGCACGAAAACACCAAAAAAGGTGACAAACGGAGCTGTGGTCTGGCAGTGATCCTGACAGCACAGACAGCTTGGATATTGCAGAGTGGTGGTAGGAACTGAGAATTAACCTAAAAATTGGCCCTGCTAGCCAGGGACATCACAGAGGACTGCTCTGGTGGCTAGGGAATAAAAGGGGAAGCAGTGAACAGGAAGGCAGGCTGAGCTGTGGACTTTTGTCTGTCCGGAGGGCACAGCTATTTCTAATGTTTATAAGCAGCTTGACCATTATGGACATTTAAAGCAACAGCGTTCTCCCAGATTCCAGGGAATTGAGAACAGGTTCCACTTGCTGGGAACCACATGGACATTCCAGACCTGGAAGACTGGAAAGTACAACATTTCCCTTGTTACTCTTATACACCACACCCTCTTGGTGAATGGAGGTGCAACCATCCTCCACTCCCAGCCACTTTCTGGGCCAGCAGGAATTCCATCCCATTCTGTGTGCTCAGACCGAGCCCTCCCAGCCCTAATTTTTTTTTTCTGTTTTCTGTTTTTTAGTTTGTTTGTTTGTCTGTTTTAAAACTACTACTGTTATTATTACCTTTGTCCTTTTTGCAATCATTCATTATTCTTCCCCTCCCAGGTTCTAGTTTTCAGCTTTTTTTCTTCTTCCTGTTTCTGGTTGCAATTTTTTTTCTTTTGTTCTCATGGTTAACCTGTTGTTGTTGTTGTTACGTGCCGTCGAGTCAAACCCGACTCACAGTGACCCCTCCTTGGGTTTCCAAGGCAGTATCACTATGGAAGTAGATTGCCCCATCTTCCTTCCAAGGATTGGCTGGTGGGTTTGAACCGCCAGCCTTCTGGTTAGCAGTCAAGTGCCTTAGGCACTATGCTACCAGAGCTCCTATGGTTAACCTAGTTCCTTGTTTTTCTTTCTTTTTTTTTTCCCCATTTATTTCTTCATTATTCTCCTTCTATACCTTTCTTCTCTTACTGCCCTCTCCCAAGATATTTCAGGTTTTTTTTCCCTTCTTTTTCCCTTTTTCCTTTTTTGGGTGACTATTCCTATGTGATTACATGGTGTATTGTTTTGTCCATTTGCTTTTACTTTTTTGATGGTTATTCAATTGCTATTTTTGTCTAACTGAGTGGGAGACAGCAACTGTTCCCATAAGACACAACTACACCCACACTTCCTGCAGCTTCACTTACTGAGTGATGGTATCAAGTCCTTCGCCACTAATGGGTCAGTGATAAACAACCACCAAGAAGATCCTGAATCACCCTTGGCTTCTCTTAACAAACAGTTAAAAGATATCTAAATACAACAATACCATGATGTCTCGGAGACAACTGACTATCACAGTCCACACAAAGAAGAAAGATAAAGTGGTAGAAACAAGGGGGCAGGATACAGACCCAGAAAATATCCCTGAGGAAGAAGCAGCATAGAAATTCTCTGATAAGGAATTCAAAAGAATTATATTTAGGTGTCTTCAGAGTACTGAGAGACAGATCAAAGAAAATGCAGACAAAACCTTAGAAGAATTTTGGAAGAAAATACAAGAACAAAATGACAAAATAAATGAAAAATTAGAACGGATTCTAACCCTACAGATAGAAATACAGAAGATTAATACTAAATTGTCAGAAATAGATAATACATTGAAAGGGCAAAGAAGTAGAAATGATGCAATGGAAGACAGAATTAATGAGATTGAAGACAAATACCTGAATACTTCTTGGGCAAGGGATCAATCACAAAAAAAGATCAAAACAAAATGAAGAAAGCCTAAGATTCATGTGGGATACCATCAAAAGGAATTACGTACGTGTCACTGGAATTCCAGAACAGGAAGAGAAAAATAAAACCACTGAGAAAATTATCCAAGATTTGTTGGAAGAGAACTTCCCTGATATAATGAAAGATGAGAATATACCCATTTAGGAAGTCCAAGAAAACCCAAAGAGGATAGACACCAAAAGAAAATCACCAAGACATACTATCATCAAACTCATCAAAACCAAA